TTTACCAAAAAATTAGAACAGACAATATATACAAATATTAAAAAAGATAAATAATACAAATGAAGAAAAAATAAAATAAAATAAAATAAAACATGTGCAAAATAAGATACAATTTGTAAAGAAATGATAATTTTATAACATTGGCGCCATAACGAGTTAACGTATGTGTAAAATAATATTGCAATATTTACAATAAAAACATCTTACTCCACTTCATTCAATCTAAAATTCTAAATCAGGACAGAGTGTTTATCCTTAAATCCTGTGGAATGTCTCTTCACCAAATTATTTATTATTTTTTTCCCAATTCATTTTATATTTATCTATCGCATGTCATAATTTTCTTGCAGGCTGCAATTGAAGTCTCTAAGCTTGGAGACCCAGGATGGCACTCATATCCAAGGAAAATGACTTACAACATTTCCCTTTCGCCGCACTCATGAGCCTTAGGTAGGTACTCACGGGAGCTGCGGTGTTCCGTTTGACTAAAAGGGGACATCAGTATAAAGCAGCGCGTGTTGTATGTTAGGCCTGACACAGCACAAGGACCCACACCCATCAACAATCCCGGCACTGAGAACACTGTCACTGCGGCCTGGCGCGCAGAGCCTTTTGATTGATTGCTTATTCTGGGCATTAACTGAAATTCTCACTAGTTTCGTTATGATAGAGCATGTATTTATTCCTTGTTTTTCCCCCCACTGGATTATGAGATTCGGCGCGGACCGACAGTCGACTTGCGAGGAACTCCACTCCCCCAGGTATCTCCCCCAGTGAAGCACGGCCGTAGCCGGGACAAGCTCTAAGTACCCGGAAGATCTCCCGAAATACTCGTACGTGGTTGTGCAGTGCGTGTATGTGTAAGTGTGTGTAAGAATCAGGTAGGATAAGACAAGATATGGGAAGGAAAGATCGTGCGCGTTCGTGGCCCGTTTGTTAGGGCAATACCCTGGTATTCGCCTGGAATATAACGGATAAATCATGGAAAAGTACGTATCAGAGCGGGTCTCCGCTAGAATTTTCCTCCCGAAAGCAGTTAAATTCGACCTAACTTTACAGCAAGTGTTGGAAACCCGTCTCCGTCGAGACCGGAACCATAGAACCTCCCGGTTAAACTCGCTGCTGGCTCACTGTTAAACTCAGTCGATGAGCCGTTTTCAGGCTATGTACAAATTGAAAATGTTAATTTTAGGATCTGGCTAAAACGTAAATTATTCGCTTAATGTTTACATTATATAAAATTCGTAAATAATGTCCGAAGTAGAAACAGCTTCGAATCATAATTCGGACTTAAGCCGGATAACATGAGCGTTAGACAAAGCGAGGTGACTAAGGTTGCTGAAGTACTTTACGGCGACGAGGAATAGTAGTAGGTATGTAATAAACAGACTGCTAGTGGGAGGTTCCTAGGGCTGGTGAGGGACAAAGTGTGTAGTTTAGAGTTCCACTCCGTCAGGCATGAATTTCTTTTTACACAATACCAACTAACCTAACCTCACTGTACACATCGAAACGCACATATTAATAGTTTTTGTGGTTTGCGAGAATCATACCCCAGTAACCCCAAAGTCTACACTACGTCGACCCTTTGGAATGGCATGGTCCCCGCTAATATTTCAGTCGTTTCGAGTAAATTTATGTCAAAGTTTCGTTAACTCATAATTCTTTCATGTCTCCATATATAATAGTGATTTTTACAAAAGCTATTTGTCCACAAACTGGAGCACGAGTACGTTCTGCTTGTACCAGAAGTCTGTTAGAACTTGGTCACCAACACCATATTTCCTTTGATTATGTCTGATGGAGCCTTGTCATTCCAAAGGATCGTCCAAATGTTTATTATCACATTTCACACACACACACACACACAAATTCAGATCTCGATTTCGCTTCGTTCGTCATTGCCCTTCACCTGTGTGTAACAGACTATTGCTGAGTGCTATCATTGCCCTTGAAAATTGTATTAGAAAATACACATGGTTAGACATTCAACAATGCTAAATGTGTAGCACGTCGTTCATTGCTAATCTCTTTTTCCATGTCGCCATCGATCGTTCTAAATTCTCCTGGCACCATACCTGTCAGAGGGAATCCCTCAAGGGGTATTAACGTTCCTCTTCCGTATTCCAGTCGGCAGTTTGTGATTAAATCGTTACTTTCAACACGATTCAATCCCAAAGCCCATTCGTCTTCTTCGTTATGACTCAGATCCAGGAGCATTGCAATAACCGTTTAGTTGTAACAATCTATATAGTTCTTGTGTGTTTAGAATTATCTGATGATACGTAACTGCTTGCTGTAAACATGCATTTACAATACTCAGAAATGATCTCGTATTAGCTTTATAAGTACATTGTTTCTACAAAGTTTCCAAAAACTTGTGCGTGTGTCTAACCGATTTCAGAATATTTGAAACAAAATGAAAAATGGAAACTCTAGGAGTCAAGAGTTGATATTTCATGAACCGATCACTAAAAAGATATTTGTTCCACTTTGATAAGCCTAGCAATCTTTTATCCAATGAAAATATTACACTAGGCCGGTTTCAAGGTTTTCTACACTTGTTGGAAAAACACGTGAAAACAATAGAATACAAAAAAGGTTTAACATAATTAGTATAACAAGCAAAATATTAAATTCCAATAGTATACGGGTTCATGGAAGGATTTATATTTGCTTCTAGATCATGGGAATTATAAAGTTGTAAACATTCCAATAGAATAATTTTGGAGAATAGTTCCGGGAAGATTTGACATGGGTAGGTTCTGAATTTGATGAAATTACTCAGTTACTGAACAAGAAGAATTTTCACATAGACATTACGAAGAAATTTTCGAAACATTGTAGGCAATACAAAAAGGAACTTTAAAAACTGTACCAAAATTAGTATTTGAAAATTTCAAAAGAATTGTTCCATATTTTTTTGAAATAGCATTAAGATTTTGGATAAAAACATATTTTCATCTTGTTTGAACAGCAAGTACTTTCTAAGGTTATGAATATTCCTTCAGTTCCGCGGCTATAAGCAATTACCGGAATGAAGAGTTCAGCTGAAAGTGAAATGTGAAAACTTTTCGCTTCTGGATTCGTATTTGAATATGTCTAAAAAACAAACGTCCCATTAAACATAAGTGAACACATTGATCTACATTACGTTGCTTCTATTTATTATAACTTTTTGGAATTTTGTTTTATTTTGCAGGGATTAATATTGTAACTTACTGTAAAATCATCGTCAAATCTATATTAGTTTTTTCGAGTAATTTGTCAGAAATTATTTTTCTAGAACACCATGCAGGTATGTAGGCATTTAAATGCAAATAACTTCCACTTGACTTGCAATAACTTGCTTTCAAAGTTTTAGAAGTGTATGTTGAAAATTGAACCCAAAAATTAATGAAATATCTGGATTATCTATTAATAATAAACATTTGTGGTGGAATATATAACATATATACTACACTTAATTACTTAATACTACACTACACATAATACTACACATTCAATTATAAGTGTCTTGAATAATCAGGGTACATGTTGTATTTCACATCATTCTTTTCTAAGAAAATATTGCACTCTGGCATTAACTTCCAGAGGAATATTTAGAGGCAAAGAATATTTCTAATGTATTGTTGGATTGGACATTTTCGCATCAATATCTTCTGCAACAGCTGATAACAGATTTCTTACATACAATACATTTAGTGCTGATACTAACATTGTCAATGAAATGTTCTTGTAAAATACTCCCGGAGCAGTGAAGGATACTCTCAGAGCAGTGTTTTTAGAGGCAAGAGACTTCTTACTTTGACCACATACAATGCAGTTTCTGAGGCTCCTATCAAATACCACGGATCGATGCAAAATGACCAACCAAAGCCCGATCCGTAATATGTTCCGCAAAAACGGTTTCCCTAATGGAACTGATATCACATTACTGATACAGACAAGGAATACATACTGCAACCTTTTTGACAACTTGTGAATTGTGAATGCGGTCGCTTACATGATATCAAGTGCGTTTATAAAGACTATTAACAATCATTATTCATCTCACGTGTAACGAAAAGAATTAAAAGAAAATACCCTAATTTGTGCAATGGAAATTGAAAATTACAAAACGCATAAAATTCAGAACTAGATCCAATTAGCAACTCTCGCCCTCATTGAGATAATTTTTAAAGCAATTCAGTTTGTAAAAGATTACTCTTACTGAGTTGATTTATTTGGATCACAGTTTGTAGTCCAATAAAGTTTTGATAGTTTATTCGTGTTTATTGTAATCTTGTATTACGGTATGTGACGGTGGCAAGCAAGTAAAACAGAGAATGAATAGTTGAAGTTCACGCTACCATGTGTTTAACAACTTACAGAGACACCGAATAGATTTGGAGGACATACTACAAAAAATGTTAATCAACTCTTAAACATTTCACTTCGGCAGTTCACATTCATAAAATCGGTATACGCTCATAACGTAAGGATTTTTGATATGCTGGTCAATAAAAAATCGAAAAAAGAATTTTTATTCCGCCTGTGAATGAAAAATACACCAAATCATAATAATTGCTTGCGATGGTTAAAATTAAATAAGGAAACAAGAGGGATAATCAGGATCCTGCAACAGTACATCTGTTTTGACCTCCTTAATTTTACTTCAGTAAGTAGACCACTGTGAGAAACATCGAGAAACGGACAATTTCCTTTACAAATCATGACGGCGGACAAAATGTTTGCATTATTGTGAGAATGTTATAAGTAGCTAAATAGGTCAGAAAGTCCTTCCTTTCTTCATTCACACTCATACCCGGATTTACTAACAACGAGCAGGAAGTCTGTTGAGATCAGCGACTTGGCGTCAATTGTTCCATATGACACACACACTACGGGAGCAAGCGCTTTGCAGACATTCGGAGACACTAAACATTATCAGTACGTATGTCTGTCCTCAGCGTGCAAAGAAAGTGCAGAGCACTTCCACCAAAAGTGGCGGTACTCACCGGCGAGAGCGCCGAGTCTAGGCGCCGCTTAAACAGTTGCATTCTTCGGGCCGAGCCACCACACACTGGAAAGAGCGTCCATCCCCTCCCGCGCCCGCCCCGCCCCCTCCCCGTGCCCGTCGCCGTATGGATTTTGCGACGGGGCCACGACGCCCATTGGCTCCGCCGCCGTGCCGGCCATGACCAGGGCGGGGACGCAGGCGGGACGCAGTAGTGCAAAGAGACCAGAGCGCGCCACCAGCGGCCCACGCAGCAAGCGCACGCCGCCGCCAGCGTCGCCAGGGGCGCTGCCGTCGCCCGGCATCGGCCCACATTGCCGAGAGCAAATACAATAGGCTCTCTAGGGTTGTTGGTACTTTGATTCACGATGTAATTCTATTCTTCTAAAGTTGGTACTTTGATTCACGATCTACCAACTTAACGTTTATAGTGCGTAAATTTTGGAAGAGGTTTTCTCTTGGTAAATATTTCTGTAGCTAAGTTATAGCTTAAAGAAAAATCTATGATTACAGATTGTTACTCTGCTTTGTGGTCTTTTAAATCTACTTTTACTACATACAATCTCAGAGACTTGAACTTTTCGATGTATAAATATTCCAACGAGTACAATGTAAGAGTAAATACAATGGCGAAAATCTACTTTTACTTCAGTTGCGCAATTTCTTCCGAAATCATCCGCAGCATCCGATGAAAATTCTTGATTTGGTTTTGAGAATCTATAATAATGAAATCGATTTAGCACTTTGAGGCATTGTTTCTATCGAAATGAATGGTGTTGAAAGTTATTCAAATGATTAGATTAAACTTTGATGAATATGAAATACTGATTTCTTTAGAAATTTTCTAAATCGTTCTAAATCAGCTACTTTCTAGGAAGCAACTTATTTATTTGTCACCATATACATTGATTGTATTTAGTGTAATCTATCTACTTATTTATCACTTCAGAGTGCGATCCCCCTCTTTTTCCAATCTCTATAAACGATATTGAATACCAAATCCTGCCCCATTTATATTGACTTTGAATATGACTGCAAAATAAATAATTTAGATAGATAGAAAGATGATAATTGTTTAATTTAGAATAGATGAGATATACTGAAATAAAATGAGACTTGGGTATTCGCCTGCAACAAGTTGACAGACAACACTCCATACATAAATGTAACACGGGTTGCATTCGTCTTTAATTTTTATTTATTTCTATATATGGAACGAAGAGTAAAATATATATTACTAGTGATGCTTCAACAGAACATACTTTCTCGTATTTACTTAATCAATATTAATATTTTAATATTGCAACTTGAATTATATTGCCTATATGTCTACGCTCCTGGGGGGATGCACTAAAATAAATAAACTACTGTTGTTGATTCCTTGTCATAAAAATTAACTTCCCTCCAATTTGCGGCGACTTAGGCACTTTTTTGGAAGAGAAGAGATTAAAGGGTAGGCGCAATAAGTAATAGAATGGTGAGTAATGCTCATTCACGAATTCAATTTGTGTTGTTCGAGTTACTGGGGTTCGAGTTAGTAATTATTTATGTGATTAATTGAAGGGCTTAGTAAAAATGTGGTTCAGGTGACGTTGCTGAAATTTAGCGTAAAATGAGAATGAAGTCCAATGAATTAAAATCAGAACACATTCTATTTTAACATAAACTCTTCATTATTTTCTGTAAACATGTTTTACATTATTTTACAAATTTTTAACTTGTTGACATTAAATTTGAGCCTGTAATTTTAACATGATTTAAAGGACACTTAAATTTTGAACAAAACAGTACTTAGAAAAAATGTACCAGTAAACAAAGTTTTTCTGTATTAAATATCTTTAAATTAAGTAATTACTCTTTTAATTTTGTAGAGCTTTTAAGAAATCTGTTAGTATAAGGAAACTTTTTTAGATTAATCACTATCAGTATTAAATACACTACTACATGAATTAGATTAATGTTATCGGGTAGTCTTGAAGATGGTTTTTGGTCTCCCGTAAATACACATCCTCATCCCCTACCCGTACCTCTACCACGCCCCTCTACCTCTACCATTACTTGCTACATTTACTGTTTTCTCGTGTTTATGTGAGGAATAGAATTCATGATGTACAGGGAGTATGAGAGGCAGTAGCTCTTGAAGATTCTTCCACTTTGCTTCCTTTATTTTAAGCGGTTCCTTGTACAGACGATCAAGTTTAATAACTGCAGGCCTTACTTTTAATTTCCTTCTGAACTCCATCTTTAGAAACTCGTAATCAGCATTGAAAGTAAGCATTATTTGCATTGTCACTTACATATGTTTTTCAAAGCGCATCCATCTAACTATTGACCACTTGAGCTGATGCTCAGATTCATCTCCGCATGTTGAAGGTCTTATATCGACAATGGAATCCATTGCTTGAATGGAAATGAAATCATCATGTTTCATTTTTATAACTATAAAATCCTTGCTTGATTTACAAATTGCATTTGCCCAATCATCTGGCACTCTTTAGTTTTGGTTTTATTTTTTTCTATCATTGCAAAATCCCTGTCCCACTCCATCTGGTTCCAAAAATGTGTGTTCTATTATTTCTAAAACACCTTAGCTAACAACATGCATCCAAAATTTTACCATGTTCCTTTTTGCTATTCTGTCCACCGCAGCAATCACTATATACAATGAAATGTTTTACATTTGGATTATCTTTCAAGTATTTCTTCTAACAGGAAGCAAATTCTTGACATCCACGAGAAGTAATGGATTCATCCCGTAGAAACATAGTCCGATCTGTTCCTATATTGTGGATGCAGAAGTTGTTAGTCCATAATTGCCTCATATAAATCACCTTATTTGTTGTTAAAACAGGAGTGGATAACCATTTCTGAAGATCGAAAGCACAACAGTTAACACTGAATCATCTCCAGGTCTTTTAGCAATGATTTTATCCTGTTTTTTGGATTGGACAGCATTTTCGGCCAATCGATGATGTGATGTAGTTCCTGCTGTTCTTTTAATGTTTTATTTCACATTCATTTGTTGATGATTTTATGGCTATATTAAATGAATCACATTTATTACATGTATCATAATGAGGGCAAGAAAAGCTGAGATTCAACTCTGTATTACCAATTTGACGAAATAGCCATTTTTTAACAATTTGTTCATTACTACTGATACCTGTCTCTACATATAAACCATATATTTTTTGATAGTCAAGTGCTGTGGCAGATATTTTTATTGGGATTCTGTAACCGGGAAACGTATACCTAGTATATCGGGGAAATGATTTAATGGGGTTCCTAACTCCCTCCAGATTTTCACTTGTTGGTGTTCTACTTTTGCTCCTCTTTTATCCCAAGATACACCAGTTTCACTTGCTCCATCAGTTGCCTTAGTAAATCTTGCATTGGAAATATCTAGGATTTTAAAAAGAAGTCTCTTCTTACATTCTAACCTATAATATGGATTAATTTTGTGGTTTTCTTAGGAGAAACAGCTTTTTGTTTTGACGTGCTGATGATATTAATGTCACACAAGACACAATGAATACGTTTTGAATTTCCCACGAACTCAAAGCCCAATAATCATAAAAAATATCACTTCGTTGTTTTTCATTGATATTTTTCCATTGAAAGCTGCACTCTTGATTAAATAATTTTAAACGTCTTCTCTCTTTCTCCTTGCCCTTGAACCCAATAAACTTTTCAGCCTTGTTGCGTAAATGCTTTGCTACATTACACTTACAAGAATTAGTATCACGTTTTTCTTTTTCTTCTTTCTTCAACGTGCTTTATTTACTTAAGTACACTTTTTATATTAATTTACAGAACTTTTTCATAAAGAGTTGTGCGCTGGAGGTATTTCCTCAGCAGGTACTCAAAAGCAGTTATCAATCTTTGATACCAATTATTCTCAATTTTACAATTAATTCTTCCACTTACTAATATTATTCCTACGATTCAATCTCACTTGTAGTACCCTAGTTTTTTTGTTATAAATCTAGTTTGTGACTATGGAACAGGGTCATCTGTGTTCGTTGAGTGTGGCTATATTTGTTTACTGGCAAATTCACACTGAGAACTAACTTCAATATTAGAAAAATCAGAAACAGACGAATTCAGATTACAATGAAAATTGAACATTTTTATAGAGTACCTTTATATATCCGATATAATATTTAATATAAAAATTTGAAACCAATTTTTGAAAAAAATTGAAAATGTAAATGAGGCTTTAAGTAAAGTGCCCTCAAAAATTAAAATACCAGTTTCGAATTCTAGGGGCCGTGAGTTCAATTAGATCGACCAGATATTATAAATTACTGAATTTCAGTAACGGAATACACTTAAATCAAAAAACGCAATAGGTTAAATCTCAACCACAGTAGATAATATATAAAACCACAACTAGATATGAAGTAATAACGAATATTCTAGGAAATTGTGACCATATTGCACAAATTATTACAATTACTAGCAACTCTATCACTGATACATTAAACACTGGTAATACATACAAATGTAGATTATTTTCTGAAGTTAAAACAATTATTTACGGACTAGTTACTGCAGGAATCATGGGAAGCATTTCATAAATTTGATGGCACAAACTGCTGCCTTTCGGCCCTGAACGCTTGGGCTAAACGGGGCGATGAATTTAGAGCTCTCGATCAGGACGTGAGGACACAGACACATTTCAAGTCTGCAACATATGCCTGGACTTGAAACCGGGACAGAAAGCATTTTCTTTACAAATATGATATGTTCGTTACAGAGCGTTGGCTGCGTAGAGTAAGGAGGGAAACTGCCAGAACAATAGGCCGGTGAGGCGCTTACTGGAACGACATCTATTTCATGATTCATGATTCACGATTCATGACACTCAGGTGATTCCAGCCAACTCAGTGACGATGAGACACCCATATGATAATAATAGTTTCGTGGTAGCCTCACACAGAATGTGTTTCATGCGAACATTGCATTGGACACTTGGCAACACCATAAACAATATTTCAGTGTATTGCAATGAAATTACTTAGTATGTGTAGGTACATAGTATATGTAGGTGCATGTGTAGGTATTA